CATTTAAACGATCCCTAAACATAGAGAGACCATTGAGAGCTGAAAGTAAGTGCGAGCGAGATAAAAGTTAACAGAGTTGCCGTTCTATTGCACAAATCATATGGAAGAGAGTGCGCCAAGCACTTTCCTGTAGAATAAGCGGTTCAAAAATACATCGTATGTATATCTTACTCCCTTACTCGCGAGTTTGGACCAAATGCCTCCGATACTTTTTGTGACAACGCTGTTTGTATGTGATGTCCAGTCTATATGTTGTTTGATTAGCGGTATAAGGGTAAATTGCATTTGTGCAAAATCCAAATGTATGTAACAGGCAGAAGGAAGAATCTCCGGCCCCATAAAGTATATATATTCTTGATCAGCACCAGTAGCCAAGTCGATCTAACCATGTCCGTCTGTCTGTCTGTCCGTCTGTCTGTCTGTCCGTCTGTCCGTATGTATGAACGCAAGGATCTCAGCAACTATAAGAGCTAGAGACTATAAATTTGAAATAGATGTAGATGCTTCTACTGCTTGCGCAGATCAATTTTGTTTCCGATAATCGATGACATACTCCGTTTCCAAGCAATCGATAAAAATCGATATCGATATCCTGTTTTTTTGAGCAAATTGGGTAAATAATAAGAGCTAGAGCCACCAAACATAATATGTTGCTTCTAGAATATTATAAATATGTCAAGTATCTTTAATTTTATATCTATCGCCACCTCCCTGCTACCACCCTAGAGCTATAAATCAAGTTAATAACCCAACTCTTATAGCCAACCAATTTAAACCACAATTTAAATGCAATTGACTATTTCAGGATACACAAATATTCTATGGTACAATAGGATATACTGTAAAAAATTACATAAAGATCGGTTAAGAAAAAACCAACGTTATATGCAATTGCGCAATTAAATGGGGCAGCAGCTTAAAGAATTTCTGTATACATGTACACACACACATTCATGGGCGTCTGCTTCCCATTCTAACAGCATGGTCATTGCGACTTTTTTCAGTAATGTTATTTTACTTCCTTTTTTGTCATAAGTACTTAATTATTGGTGTGGCTGCTGAGTAGAGGCATAGCAAGTGGTGCGGTCAGTTGCGAGTTCGAACCCTGCCAAGTGACCTTTTTCTTATTAATTTATTTGGTGTTGGAATAAGAGGGTTCAGGGTATCCCCTAGTCGGGAGCTCCCGACTAGAACCTCTTACTTGTTATTTATAGCCTCTGTCCACTGAACACATTTCTCTCACATTTCTGAAAATGTCACATTTTTGCAAAATGTGTAAAATGCGCCCTGTGCGTTTCCCCATAAGAAAACACATTTCACACATCTTTTAAAAAAGTCACTATTTCCAGAAATGTGTAAATTCGCTCGAACATTTAGTTTTTTTTGCGATGGTTAATCGAGATTTCTGTCGATGTTGTGAAAAATGGTAATGTATCGTAAACTATAACAGCTAATATATCAAAGAAGGCAAGCGGCAACTTTCAATAAGAAATTTAAAATTAGAGTAATCCCACAGATTTTAGAATTTAAACATAGCGAAATCTCGAAAAGAGTACCTAAAGTAGAGCCCTTACCTCGAGAGCGCAATTTTGGAAGGAAAACTTTACGGCGCCTATGTAAATTAAACAAACTCGATCATCTGTTTTTTAAAGAAGCGATACTTTTGTTACCGACAACCGGTGGAACACCGTGTGAAATTTGAAAATGTGGCATTTCTTAAACCAGTGGACCGAGGCTATTACATATGAATGCATGTTGTGTACTGAGGTGGGCTCCGCAGAAAATATTTATGTTACCGCAAATGATTCACAGAGTGTCGCAAGAGCGGATATGTGCGCTACAAAGTAGCGAACGATGCAACATAGCGATCGACGTAATCTGACACCAGCATGCACGTACCATGGACTACGTGGGATAGTTTTAAGTTATGATAAGTTGAGTTAAGTTATGGAAAGACCAACAGGCTAAGTTGCCCAATAAATAATAAAAACATATAACTCCGACTTCGTTAATAGGCGCCCAACAAATTCGAGTTCGATCCAGTTCAACGTCGTATTTATGTAAAAACGTGTGTGCGCCGCGAAAAAAAAAAACAAAAATCAAAACAAAATATTTAAAAATAAGTATAATTTTAAGTCGCAAGCTAACGCAACGTCAAAACACATCAAGCAAAAAAAAATTCAAACACCAGGGCCAAAACCCTAGTTCAAAAATTCAACGCTGTTAAGATTTCAACACTTTAGCAAGCAAGACGACACAGATAGTGAAATCTGACGACCCCTGCGACCGCTTATGGTCGGTACAAGGATATTTTAACAACAAAATGTTCATCCCAATGAGACGTTCATCCGTTTGCGTGTTATCCAGTGTGACTTAAAAAGGAAAACAATAAGTTGCGATTCTTCTTCTGTTATTTCTGTTAAAATTATAAAGTTGACCAAACTCATGCAAAAAAAAAAAAAACATACGTAAAAGTTCCCTTTGTTCTTACTCAAGAATTAATGTATAGAAATAGAGTTAGTACTGATGGTGCAAGTGACGAAGATCTGTTACCCAGTTACAACAACATATATCGAAAAGCCAAATAATAATAATGAACAGATAATTTAATTGATAAAGTCTGCAGTCTGGTGCACTACTGCACCAAGAAAAAATTTTTAAAAAAAATTAAGAGCATTAAAAGAGTAAATGAATAGCGAGAGAGAGAATAGAGAGAGAATAGAAAATGCATCAGACATAGTAGTGTACGAACCAGCCAAAATTATAGGGAAGGTTTTTTGTAATGAACCCTTAGACATTGTAATGTCTATACCACAATTTGATGGCAACCAAGAAAATGATGTCTCTTGACAACAGGCTGCAAAATTTTTAAACCTTATGACGATAGCTCCCAAAATTACCAAGCGGTTGCAATTATTCGCCACAAATTGGATGCTCTGCAGACGCAACACTAGCGTCATTCAACATGATGTTAAATTTTAATGCAATTATTGCCCGCTTAGATTTAACTTACGCAGACAAAACTCCGATTCGTGTTATCCAACAACAGTTGGATACAATGAAGCAAGGCCAAGACCTGCCCTTGCTAAAATACTACGATGCAATCGAAAGAAAACTTACGCAACTGACAAATAAAACGATACTGCCCCACGATGTGGCATCCGCAAAAGTCCTCAACGTATCTGGGATCATCTTTCCCGCAAAGCCGCGAGGTCTGCCATCCGTCCTGGCGTTGCCCCAAGAGGCAGAAGTAAGCAATGACAGGTGTATGTTCGTACAAGTCGCAAAAGCTCGACGGACAACGCCAGGGGTGGCGGAAAGGTAACTCAAGCGGTCCGCAAATTAGTTCGTCAGGAGGCCCTTAAGAAAATTCGCACAGCTGTCAACAAAAAGAGAACAACCAGGCTTATCAGGGTAAAAATCCCCATTACACTAAGAGTCCGGGTGGTAGAAACCAGGGTCAGCACAATAATGAATCAAATAGCTCGAAGTGAATTAGCATTGAAAGACAATAGAACCAGGGCCCAGAGGCAATGGAAGTAGATTCTTTGTCGCGCCTTGGACGACAAACAGGTCATAGAGGAACGAAGGTTTCACAAGACCAATCCTAGAAGCCAACAAAAGGTTATCTACAAGCTCTGGAGCAGCATAATGATTAAAATGATGAGCCTTTTAGCCTCTGTCCACTGGTTTAAGAAATGTCACATTTTCCAATTTCACATATTGGGTTTCCACCGCTTTCGGTAACATATGAGTGGCAAAAGTACCGCTTCTTTAAATAAACATCTGATCTTTGTTTAATTTACATAAGCGCCGCAAAGTTTTTCTTCCAAAACTCAAAAATTGCGTTCTCGAAGTAAAGGCTATATTTTGGGTACTCTTTTCGACATTTCACCATGTTTAAATTCTAGTAAAAACTGTGGGATTATTTTAATATTAAACTTCTTGTTTAAAGTTGCCGCTTGCCTTCGTTGATATATCAGTTGTTTATGGTTATGATACTTTACCATTTTTCACAACATCGATAAAAAGCTCGATTAATCATCGAAAAAAACACGAAATGTTAGGGGCGAATTTACACATTTTTTAAAAATGTGCCTTTTTGATAGATGTATGAAATGTGTTTTCTTATGGGGAAACGCACAGGGCGCATTTCACACATATTGCAAAAATGTGAGATTCTCAGAAATGTGTGAGAAGTGTGTTCAGTGGATAGAGGCTATTACCACTAACCAAACAACAAATTTTTGCGCAGTTTTGCTTGTCGGACATGTACACACACACACATTGAAACGATCCCTAAACATAAAGAGAGAGCATTGAGAGCTGAGAGTAAGTGCGAGCAAGATAAAAGTTAACAGAGTTTCCGTTCTATCGCACAAATCATATGGAAGAGAGTGCGCCAAGCACTTTCCTGTAGAGTAATCGGTTCAAAAATACATCATATGTATATCTTACTCCCTTACTCGCGAGTTTGGACCAGATGCCTCCGATACATTTTGTGCCTACTTTCCGGTACTCATGTCCAGTCTTTATGTTGTTTGGTAAGTGCTATACACACTTTTCAAAAATTTTTGAAATGTGTTTTCCTATGGGGAAATGTACAGGCCGCGTTTTACACATTTTGTAAAGATGTGACATTTTCAGAAATGTGTTCAGTGGACGTATGTCCACAGGGATCGACGGACGATGCAAGATCGACTCGGCTATTGATGCTTAAGAATATTTCTACTTTATGGAGTCGGAGATGCCTTCTCTGGCTATGAATAAAGTTTCTCTTATTGAGATTGGCTGTTGGCAACATGTATGTATATATCGGCTAGTCGACCCCAAAATTATTATTCCCTTAAATTTTATTTAAATTTGAATTTAGTATTTATGTATGTATTGTCAACAACAAACTAAGTATGAAGTTAGCAACACAAATTGGGTTTGTTAATTCTCTCTCTCTTTTATATAACTTATACATAATGTTAATTACATCACCTCTATCTACTTACTGTTCACTTGTCCGAGCAACCGGTGTATTAAAAATGGTAATTAAATGCCTGGATCTTGTTATGGAGACTGTAAATGGTACCTATAAGTACAAATAATTAGTATAGAATCATCGAAAAGTTATGAGTTGTGAGTTATGAGTAATAAGCTTACTTTGAATCTAGGTTCATCGAAGCATGGAAACAACCGTCGAGCGTTATTTGGTCTTAAGTAAGTGGCTAAATAGGTCAAATTTGAATAAGATCCTTTAAAAAGTCCTTCTGCACTCTCCCAAATGTATCCTTCAAACGGAATTTCTAAAACACATTCAGAGCCTTGCTTAATTATTTCTGTGAGATAAACAATATAAATTGTTTTCTTAGGAAATCGACTGCCGCGCTGTACAGTAATGTTTTTATGTAACTGTAAATCACTAAAAACGTTATTAAAGAATATATATCATTTGAAAACTGTGGGATTAATAAGAGTGGCTAACCTGTTATTTTTATTAAGCATTTGTACAAGAATTTTTTTGTGATTGATATTTAAATCAAAATGAGCATGAAGTGCAATTTTATTTGTGTCTGATTTCCAGACCAAATTAATTTTTACATGTCCACTGAATGTGCCTTGTTCGTAGTTCGGTTCCAGATGAATTTCGTAGCTTTGTGGAAGAATATCTGTTGGCAATCGATCATCCGTTAAAAGTGCATAGGAAGCTGATGTATCTATGCTACGTCTTACAGCAGCCTTAAAGTAAAAAATTAGTTTATAAGTTATTAAAGATTACATAAATAGATTTCAAATTTGATTTACTAAGTAAAAGAATTTGTGTTTGTGCTATTATATTTTAGTTATATGGATGGAACTTGAAAGTCCAATTCTACATCCATTCTGGCAAGTAAAATATTTAGATTTTATTAATAGTTTCTTTATTTATTATACACAAAAAAAAGGGAATAAGTATTTGAATGCTTAGATGCTGAAGGTTAGAGAGTTCGCGCTGGAAGAACCTTGTACATACTTTTTCGTGATATAGTGAAATTCTAAATTAGTGTAACCACATTATCAAAGACTTTAAATGTATCATGTACCTTCTAGGCTTTAAGTTGTGAATCGAACAGGGGATCCAATTGTACGGCGCAGCCTTGTGGATTGTTGAATCAGTATCGTATGCATCTTGTTGTTGACCTAATGGCGATATTGTATCTGTGTTGGTTGTCGTTGATTGCTGTGTTTTCATAAATGCAGGGTTGAGGCGATCAACTGAGGCTATGGTATCGTGACCATTGATAAATATGTTGAAAAATGGGTTTGTTTTAGCTTACTAAAAATGGTTTGTCGTAGGCCGTCTGAAGCGAAACATGTAGCGTTTTGTTACGCAAAAAAAATCAGTTAAATCAGCTAATTGCTTGAAAATGAAAGGCTTTGAGGAGCCGTGGTTGGAAGTTTGAATTGTAGCTTCCTTAATCGTGCGGTGGCAAAGTTCTATGATTACGTTTGCTTGAGGATGGTAGGCGGTTGCTCGTAAATGGTCCTTTCAGGATACCTTCGGGAAGCCGCTGACATTTCCCAGCTATGAGCAGAGGCATAGCTTGCCGGACAGGCTGAAAAATTTTCCCCCACCGGGTCGGTGATTTCCCATTACTTTACTCTTTGTCCTATCTACTTAACACTCTTTATCTAACTTACATTGCTTTACTTTATTGACAATCTTCTTACTTTCTTTTTTCCTATTTATTGTATTTTCTTTATTAATATAGCAAATTAAGATTATTTTTAATTTTACTTGAAAACACTTTTCCTACTTACAACCTTCTGCTTAGATGTAGGCTCTAACTGCGTCACTGACAAAATTAGCTGTGAAAAGAGGCACAGCTGGCCGGACTGGCAAATAGAACACCTCCATCGGTCGGTAATGCTATTTAGAAAATTGTATCCTTTAACTAGGCTGTTAGCATATAATTCTATTGTATAATCTATTGAATAATGATGAAGACACTCGTTTTGTCGACCATTAATAAATAAATAAATAAATAAATTCCAAATTCTAAAAATGCCGAGGTGGCTCAACAGCTAGTTAAATAACCTGGATTCAAATTGTCTACCTTGGTCCGTGATGATGTGGGCTGAAACTCCAAAACGAGAAATATATGTATTGAATAGCGGGTATTGCCCGGCCTTGCCCGTGGCACTTATGTTATAAAATCAATGTTCACGAACAGCTTTGAAAATGATTTTGAAACTGAGCGGATAGTAAACAAACTACTTTCATACAAACGTTTTCCGTTATTTTACCATTGTTTCGAGTGGAATTACCAAATCGCTGAAACACGTATTCATTATATTCTTATATTAAACTTTGAAAATAAGTTTGATGCAAATCGGACACAGCTTATAATTCTCAAAAAATTACTTTACAATACAGTTTCCAAAAAAGGAGCTAAGATTTTGCAAGAAATGTGAAACAGCTCTCAAATGATTTTTTATGTAGCTCCATGCAGTTGCAGTATGTAGCTCTCTCAGTTGAGAGTGATTGACGTGTTTTACTTGTGCTCCAAGATTTTTATATATTTTTGCGCTTTTATCCTGCTTTTTACTTTAAAATTTTGCATTTTTCGGTGCTTTCTTTAAAGAGCTTTTATAAACTGTGCAAAGTGTTATCTGTTGTGCAGCGTAAGTCTGTTAATTATTGCATTTTATAAAACGCGGCGTCAGTTCCGTATTGTTGTTATTGCCTGTTTTGATTCTTTTGCTTTGGTGCTCCCCTGTGCATACACTTGTTTGTCCGTGTGTTCGCTGCATACTTTCTGCTTGTGCATCGCGCTCTCCCAAATTTTTTCTATTGCTTTTCGCACCAAACAATTTGTTTGTGTACTAATAATTGTTTTTTGAGTGTTTACTTGCTCTATCTTGTGCACCGTTTTCGTTTTGCTCTGCGCTCTCGTAACTTGCATACGCATTTAATAATTATGTCGTGCTGTAAGAAACCGTGCACGTTCAAGCAGGCTGACGATTCTGCACTGCCGCAATTTGTTAATTGCTGGCTGTGTGAGAATATAATGCATGCTAAATGTGCAGGTCTGACTGGGCGTGATTACGACAAGATTGCTATTGCCAAGAAGGGCTGCGGTGGCTTGCGTTGGTCGTGCCCAGAATGCATCGACAAGCAAATTGATTTCTCCAGAATGTGTAATTCTGTGAGAAGTCAATTCTTAAAATAAAATAATGTGGCTAGGCAGCTCTCGAGTAATTTTGACTCGAGTTTCGAGTTGCTTGGCAAATATAAATTTGAGTCCCCAACCAATCGCCGGTTGGAGCCTCAACTTTTGCAATTGCCCTCTACGTCTGTTCAGACACCTACGACTTTCTTGTCCCTTCCTAGCAACTTGGAGGTATCTCCAATGTTGTCTTTATCGCCTTCTCCCAGCGACTGTCCAATTACCCCTGTTTCAACCCCTGTACTAGTCCCAGTAGAGCCCGTACCTGATCCCGTCCCAATTAATCAAACTGCCTCAGCCCCGTCAGCTCCTGGCCGCAAAGGTAGACGTGCGCGCAATCTAGCCCAGATTGTTAAAAAACAATCATTGTGCCTCGTTAGCTCCTCCAACTCCTGTATTACCTACAGCCCCAATAGCGCCTACTTTAACGGTAGTTGCCCCTCGTAGGCAAGTTTTTGTGTCTCGACTTTCGTCGGACACCACTTCTGAGTCATTGACAGCCTATATTGCTAGCAAATCTTCTGCTAGCGTGTCAATAACCAAATTTAATTTCTCCACCCCTCGTGAAATATCATCATTCAAAATAAATGTTTCACATGATATGTTCCCAATCATTTGTGTTCCCAAATTTTGGCCTCCACACATGATTGTTCATGAGTTCAAGCCTAAAAAGCGTAACCAGCCTGTCACCCTTCCAGTCCCTTCAATACAGGGTACCATGTCTTCCCCAAAAAACTAGCTTCATCTTCTGACCAAATCTTTATTCATTATCAGAATGTCAGAGGTCTCATTTCAAAGCTTAAAACTCTTTTCATGACGAGCACTTCCTTCGTTTCGGATATAATAGCATTTTCAGAAACATGGTTAAACTCAACCATATCTGATTTTGAGGTTTGATCGAATAACTTAATTTTGTATAGAAATGATCGGCTGACTCGAGGTGGTGGGGTGTTAATTGCCGTTAAAGCCATTCTCCAGTCAGAATTTTTCTGTTTTAGAACGCCTACTTACGCTGAGTTAAGGTGTCTTTTTCTGCACGGAATATCTATAAAACATGCTCTTATGTCCCCCGTTCTTCTGATATTCAAGTTTATATGAACCATATTACTTGTATTAAAAAAGTTTCTTCACACGTGCGTGATAATAACCTATTTATGGTGTTGGGTGATTTTAATTTACGGAATATCTCTTGGTCACTATTCACTAATGAAAATTATCTAGTGCCCTCAGCACAGCACGATTTAATAGATTGCATGCTTGATCTTTCGTTGTTTCAAACAATTCAATTTCTAATCATTTGAATAGAACACTTGACCTTGTATTTGTTAACGAATATCTTATTTCTAATGTGTCTAGGTCCACTCCTTTATCTCTTCCTGAGGATGTCTATCATCCTACCTTAGAGATTGCAATGCTCAATTGTAATCCTTTCATTTCGTGCTCATCACCCAATAAGCTCCGCTGTTGCTTTCGCAAAGGAAATTATTTTTTGCTAAATCAGCTTATTTATGGAACCGATTGGTCTTTCTTATATGACTCGGTTGATATGAATACTGCCATTAATTTTTGTATATCACCCTAAACCCCCTCTTAGATGAGTGTATTCCTAAGTCAATACCTTCGACTACTTTTTCAAAACCACCCTGGCTTACTGCCAAATTATCACATCTAAAAAATGTTAAATCTAAATATTTTAAATAGTATAAAAAGTCTTGTTCGTGTACAGACTTGGCTAAATATTCCATAGCCAAGTCGAACTTCTTTCTCAATGCTATGAGAATTATCTAACTCGTTGTAAAAGGCAATTCGCCCGAAATCCGAGACAGTTTTATAATTTTGTAAACTTGAAGCGTAAATCTTCAAGTTTGCCATCTTCTTTTTTTCTTGGGATGGATAAAGCTAGCAATGACACTGATTCTGCTAACCTCTTTGCTAATTTTTTCCAATCAACTTACTCTTCAGTCTATCCTAATACTAATTCTTACCCTTATACTATTTCTTCCGCTAGTTCTATACCTCTCCCCATTATTTCACACTCCTCTCTCCTATTAGCTATAAACTCTTTAAAATCTTCTTAATCTCCTGGGCGGGACAATATTCCTAGTTGTCTACTCAAGGAGTGTAGTTCTTCCCTTTTTTATCCATTGCTAAAGCTTTTTAATCTATCCCTTGAAACTTCTGTCTTTCCATCTCGTTGGAAAGAATCTTATATCATTCCTCTTCACAAGAAAGGTGGGAAGTCTGATATACAAAATTACAGGGGCATTGCAAAACTGTCCGCTATTCCTAAATTATTTGAAAAAATAATCACTTCGAATTTGCAGCATTTCTGCAAATCAGTTGTTTCCCCTGTTCAACATGGTTTCGTAAAGAATCGGTCAACTACGATCAATCTGCTTGAATTTACTTCCTTGGTAAATGATGCTTTCCTTTCGAAAATGCAAACTGATGTCATTTACACTGACTTCAGTAAGGCGTTTAACTCTGTGCACCATGACATTTTACTTTTTAAACTTGACCGAATAGGTT